GATCCGCAATTGGAACCCATCAGTGGAGAAAGACGAGGCTTTCCACTCCCGTCAAAAATTACAGTCTTGGAAACGCACTGGGGCAGTTGTAGCCTGTCCTACAGGGTCACTGAGTTGGAATCAATTCCAGGCGGTGCGTTGTTGTTTTTCCCCCTAGCTAGGCTAAATAGTTCAATTTTATGAAGACTTTAGGGCATGTTTTTGGTTTAAGGTTTAAGATGATCTCAGGACAATATTTTCTTTAAAATTTTTTTTAAATCATTTTACTGGGGGCTCATACAACTCATCACAATCCATATATCCATCCATTGTGTCAAGCACATTTGTATATTCGTTGCCTTTATCATTCTCAAAACATTTGCTTTCCACTTAAGCCCTTGGTATCAGCTCTTTTTCCACCCCCTCCCACCTTCGTGACCCCTTGATAAATTATGAATTATTATTATTTTCATATCTTACCCTGACCGCTATCTCCCTTCCCCCATGGTTTCTGTTGTGCATCCCCCTGGGGGGCAGTGTGTGGTTATATGTTGATCATGGCAATTGGTTCCCCTTTCCTTCCCTCCTCTCCCCAACTTCCCCCTACCCTCCTGGTATCACTACTCGCGTTCCTGTTCCTGAGGGGAGGCCTCTTGAGTGTAAAGGATTTTAGACCCTGGTTTCTGGGCATTGAGTGAGTCAGAGATGGAAGTGACTGGACACAGAAACAAATGTGAGGCAGGGGACCTACCTCATGGCTGCCCCTGTGCTGTTGGTTATATGGCTAAGACTCAGGGTCAGGCCCTGAAGCTGTACCCTAAAGACCACCTATATTTTATTTTTTGTCTCCTTTTGCCCCCAGGCAGATGGCTCCAAAGCAAGGGCCCCCTCTGGGTGCCTCCTTCTTCCTGTCCCCACTGGTGGGCATCCTCAACCGGGCGTGGAGCCGCCTTCGGGGCCCTGGACCGCCAGAGCCCTGGGGCATGGAAGTTGCCTCACGAAAAGCTGCCTTGGATGTGGAAACTGAGCTTTCTCTGGCCTTGGGCAATGCCACTTGGAGTGGGCACCCTTACGGGGAGGCTGAAGACAAGGGATTGGCTGAGGACAACAATGGAGCAGCAGACCTCAAAGCCCCCACTTCTCTCGTTGAAGCCTCAGAGGTTGACCGTGAAGGGTGTGCTGAGAAAGAAGCACCGAGGGTGGTCAGAGAGCAAGGAAGTGGACTTGTAGGGAGTCAGCCTGCCCCCCTGCCCTCCGGCCTTCCGACAAGAACCCCGCCTGACCCTCTTGGGGAAGAGCAGTCTGAGGAAGAAGACAGGGACACCGCTGTCCATCCGGAAATGGCCAAGACCTTCGCTTGTCCTGTAGTCGCCTGCATGTACGGCCCCAGGCCGAAGGAAGAAGAGGCAGAGAAGGGAAAACTTGTAAAGGAAGCCTGGCCCCAAACCACTACTTGCCTCTTCTCCCCAGGCCCCGTGCCAGGGGCTGCGCTGTGGACCGAGGAGGCCACAGAGGGGCATAAAGACGAAGAGGATGGAGCCGCAGAGGATAGAGAAGCCAGGAAGGCCGCCATGGCCTCCTGGTGGCCAGTTTCGCACCCTAGGACTGGGGAGTATCCTTCAGGAAAGTCTAAGGAGGAGGCAGCTGAGAAAGATGGGGACCCAGAGCTTCTCTGCTACAGCCAGGCCTGGAGGTCCCTGCTCAGTCTGTCCCTGGAGGCCGCCCCGACAAGGAACACAGAGACAGAGGAGGGAGCCGGTGGCGAAGGTGGTGCTTCAGGAACAACTGCAGAGAAGTGGGGAGCAGGGAGGCCTTTCTTCATCCCATCCACACGGACCTTCCTGAGGGCCCTGGTGTTCTGGCCAGGAAAGGCCTCAGAGAAGGCAGGACACGAAGAAGGTGCTTGCAGGGCAGCTCAGGAAGGAGGGGAAGCTGCGGCGGGTCCAACCTCCAGCCCATCCGTAAGTCCGTCCTCGAAGGTCCAGGTGATTTGGCCAGGAGAAGAGGAAGAAGACAGCGAAGACCACAGCTCAGGAGAAGCTGAAGGTCCCTCCTCCCTCCAAGCCACGGGTGCCTTCCTGAAGGACTGGGTGTACTGGCCAGGAGAGGAGGAGGAGGAAGAAGATGAGGAAGACCGTGATTCCGAGGCAGCTGAGGAGGAGGGAGAAGCTGAGTGGGTTTATAAACCAGGAGAGGACTCTGAGGAAGAGGAGGAGGAGGGAGAAGCTGAGTGGATTTATAAACCAGGAGAGGACTCTGAGGAAGAGGAGGAGGAGGGAGAAGCTGAGTGGATTTATAAACCAGGAGAGGACTCTGAGGAAGAGGAGGAGGAGGGAGAAGCTGAGTGGATTTATAAACCAGGAGAGGACTCTGAGGAAGAGGAGGAGGAAGACAGGGCTTCCAGGGCACCTGAGGAAGAGGGAGAAGCTGAGGGCTTGACCTCCGTCCCATCCACAAGCACCTTCCTGAAGAACTGGGTGTACCGACCAGGGGAGGACTCTGAAGAGGAGGAAGACGGTGACTCAGGGGCAGTGGAGGAGGATGGAGAAGCTGAGGGCTTGTCCTGCCTCTCATCCACAAGCACCTTCCTGAAGAACTGGGTGTACCGGCCAGGGGAAGACTTGGAGGAGGGAGAGGAGGAGAACAGTGATTCAGAAGCGGCTCTGGGGGACTCCACTGGGAGGCCCCACCCTCCTCTCCAAGTGGCCATCTATTTACCTGGGGAGAAGCCCCTCCCTCCCTGGGCCCCACCCCTGCTGCCCCATAGGCTGCAAAGGAGGCTGGAGTCCTTACAAGCCCCAACCCCTGGGGATCCAGATCCTGAGACGCCCCAACAGGCCAGAAAAGTGAGTGCAGAAGGCTCCCCAATTCTGGGAAGTGGGCGGGCTAGAACAGCGTGGGGGGGGGAGGTGCGGGGAGGGCGTTTGTGTGTGTTCCTGACTGTAACTGAGACCAAGACTCCAGGGTCTTGCAGGGGATTGCATGGGAACTCCAGGGAACGTTTCTCTACCTGGAAGGCAATCCTTTGCAAGAAGCTGGGTCCCCGGGGTTTCCTGGGGGAAGAGGGAGGGGCTGTGACTCATGCTGGCCTCCCTCCTCCCCAGAGCCACCTCTGTCGTCAGTGAGCCAGAGGAAAGGGTCCCCTGACAGGCGCATGACTCACCAGATGGTATTTCCAGAAAACTCACCTGTGTTTCCTTCTCTGCCTGTCTGTCTCTCTTCGGTGTGGCCGGTGCCTTTTCTGCCGGGCTGTGTCAGGTGCGCTTCGCGGACAAGGTCATCGTCCACCGCCTGATTGTCTGGGCCGGGCCAGCCCAGGCTGTCCGTCGGGGTCCCTGGGAGGAGATGGCCCGGGACCGAAGCCGCTTCGCCCGCCGCATCGCCCGCACCCAGAAGGAGCTGGACCCCTGCTTCACCCCTGCCGCCCGGGCCAAGGCCTGGGAACGCCTCCGGGACCCACCTCTCTCGCTGGCCGCTTCCCCAGCCCCTGGGACCCAGACCCTCGCCCGCCCTTCCGAAGCCCCACACCTGGCCCCGCCCCTGAGCCCCACGGAGGCCACGCCCTCCCCCTCCCACTGTCTGGCCCTCCAGGAGAGGCGGGGCTGAGGCCACGTGTTTGTGTGTGTGTTATTTAAGTGTTTGCATAAAGAATAAAGCCTTTTGATATCGATGGGGCCGTTTAATTCCTTCCGTCGGTCTGAACTCGCAGAATCCGCACTCCTGGGCCCGGAAATAATTGAGAGGAAGCGCGTCGGGCCAACCTCCGGGCAGAGCCCCCAACAAAACTACATTTCCCATCCTGCCTGTGGGCAGCTTCTTGCCTAGCCTGGAGACTTTGAAAGAAGGGGTGGTGGGCTTTGTAGTTTTTCCTTGGCTCACTGCTCAAGTGTTGTAAAATGTTAACTCGTTTTGCTACTGAGAATTTATACCGACGCTGTAGGAACCAGGGGCACCGAAGACATTCTGCGCATTATACAAGGATTAGCACCCTTTCTTGCGTAGCTCCTCCCGCACCAAAAAGCTCTGGACTCTCTCCACTGGCTGCTGTCAGTATCAAACCCAAACTCCCTGCCAGTGAGACCATTACGACTCGCCGCGGTCCTATGGGACAGGTTCCAACTGTTGTGGGTTTTTCCCAGACTAACTCTTTCTGAGTAAAAAGCCCCATCTTTTTCCCCTAGGGGCGAAGCAGTTAT